AATATAGTTGGATCATATGGTGTTTCCTCCCTCTCTATCTTGTTGTGATGAATTGAGTTTTACCTTTGAGGTTTCACTATTATCGGATTGAATACTTTTATGAATTTGAGAACACTTGATCTATATCATGCATATGAATACCCATGGTGGCAATGGGGTATTATATTGATTCACTTGATGTATGTTTTGGCACTCAAATCGCGGATTCCCGAGGTGACATTAGGGTAATCTATGCATGGGGGTTGATGCACGTTTTCATCCTACTGCATAGGGGTTGATGCACGTTTTCATCCTACTTTCTCTGGTAGAAATCTTGGGGCATTCTTTGACGTTCTTTGTATTGATTGAATTATGAATCTGAAGTTGTTTGATGCATATCATATAATCAAATCGTGGATACTTGTGGTGACATTGGAGTATCTATGTGACATTAGAGTTGGTTGATGTGTATCATATGGTGTTATTTTAGTACAAACTCTAGGGTTGTTTGTGACACTTATAGGAATATCTCAATAGATTGATCGGAAAAGATAACTTTGAGGTGGTTTCGTACCCTACAAACAATTTTGTCTTATGATCTCCGCTAGATTATAACTTTGGATTGACTCTTTGTCGCACGTTGAAGGATTCTTATATGATTCAATTATGTTAGCACTGTTGAGAGAATGCACTAGTGAAAGTATGAACCCTAGGCCTTGTTTTTAAGCATTGCAATACCGTTTGTGCTCTGTTTTATCATTTGCTACCTTTTTATTTTTTTTATTTTCAGATTACAAAAACCTATATCTACTATCCATACTACACTTGTATCACTGTCTCTTTGCCGAACTAGTGCACTTATACAATTTACCATTGTATTGGGTGTGTTGGGGACAAAAGAGATTTCTTGTATTTGATTGCAGGGTTGTTTGAGAGAGACCATCTTCATCCTACGCCTCCCACGGATTGATAATCCTTAGGTCATCCACTTGAGGGAAAATTGCTATTGTCCTACAAAACTTTGCGCTTGGAGGCCCAACACAAGTCCACAAGAATAAGTTGTGTAGTAGACATCAGTGGACTTCACCAACGATGTTAAGGTGATCAAGAATTTGGGCATCACCTGCCAGAATCTTGTCGACATCCAGTGCCAATACAAGATCTGGGGCAGCAAGAAGCACGAGAAGGACTCACTGATTCACCTCGCCGAGGCCATCATCGACCCCTACTACAAATACATGCATGAAGGATTCCTATAACAAGGACAAGCGTGCCGAGCACTCGTCCTGGATGAAGAAACTCGACAAATCTCACATCATGTACGCTGCCAAGGAGGCGTACGCGTGCTACGAGATGTACAGGTGGACCGTTGACATGAGGAAGTGTCTCCTTCCCCAAAATGGCCAGGGATCCAGCCGGAAGCAGAGCAATGGCAAGCGTCGTCACAACAAGAAGTAGATGATTAGATGCTCGTTTCTCCTAGTTTCGTATGCATGTGATTGTTTACTTTGGTGTGTGCAAATGTTATGTGTGTAGTTGCTTATGTAATTGTATGTTTAATTTTCTTATGCAATCATGTTCTTATAAGTATACATGGTGATGTTCTGTAGAGAGAGCGTAGATATTGTGCGGACAAAGCAAATCACATCGCACACGGACTAAACAAGGGAAATCATCGGTGATGATTTCATCAATCGCTCACAATTGTATACCAACAAGCGCTTGCCAAAAACACACACAGCTTGTTAACGGGAATCGTCTGTGTTGTTATCGTTCTTCCCACATATTTCTAATTACTGACCTGTTTGCTGCGTATCACACAAATCTTATTAAGTTGAACCGTTTATGTTGTGTTTCCTAATCGAAAATAGTTCATCTGAGTGAACTGTATGCCGTATGTCACACACACCTTAATTTGTCTGACCTTTTCTATTGTGTTGCCTAATCACAAACAATTAATCCGAGTGAACTATATGTTGTATATCGCACACACCTTCATCTGGTTGACCACTTCTCTTATTATGCTCATCACAAACAGTTCATTCGAGTTCATTACATACCACGCATCACACACGCAACTATAATCTGAATCGTGTTTGATGTCTCCACCATCATAAACGTTTTGTATCATTTTTGACAGTTTTATTACAACACCGTTTACGATTAATACATCACACACAGTTTCGTCAAAGGGTCTCTGATTGTAGTTTCGTGTTAGCAGCATCCTGCAGTAGTGATCCTGAGTGATGAAGGCCTTACAGGAGTATGCCTCGAAGAAGGGGCATCAACACAACTGCTTACAAGACGCACACGGATGACTACATTGTCTTCAGCAAGGAGGGTAGGAGGAGTTCCTTGTGAGAGAAAAAAATCTACAAGTCCTGCGTGCAACAACTTGAAGATCATGATTGTCATTGACATCAATAAATTCCAATGATGTGAGGTCAATAATGCAGGATCGGACATTTCCTAAAATGCATCGTTGTTTATTGATGATAAACCATTGAGGTTGGTGGTAATGAAGATGAATTCCTCCTTTGACTGAGTACCAGATCAGGGATGAAAACAAAGATCGCCCCGAAATGCGAAGTATTGGTGGCAAAAAAGTGCACCATACATTTGGTATGAGTTTTGGGGGGTATATAAAACCATCAGGCACCATAGGCAACTAATGGGTTCCCTAGGGGCCATAGATGTTGACAGCATCTGGGCGCCTACACAGTGTGCCTACGCCCTGTGGGCCACCACAGGTGTTGGACTTTGGTCCTCCGGTGTTGTGAAATTTCTTGCCAAATTTTGTTGGAATTTTCACGGACTTTTGGTATTTTTCTTGTAAAATTGAAAAATAACAGAACAAACATGAACTGAATTTATAGGACATTGCATACTTCAAGGATTACAGACATGAAACATACAAAAATTGTAGATATCTTGGAGACGTGTCAACATCATGTTCTCGTCCTCGAGCATGAAGATGATAACAAAGATATTTTTTTTATGTAAATGCTACTGTCGGATCACGGGTTCCGGCAAAACCCTCGAGGTTCGAACACTGGGGTGCGCGCGAAGGTTTTCTCCCTATCGATCCACGCCCTAGCTCGCTAAGATCTCGCGGATGAACTCGACGAACTTGCAACACAAAGACACAAGATTTATACTGGTTTAGGCCACCGTTGTGGTGCAATACCCTACTCCAGTGTGGTGGTGGTGGATTGCCTCTTAGGCTGATGATGAATAGTACAAGGGGAAGAACAGCCTCCTGAGGTTGAGGTGCTCTTGTGCTTGGTGCACTTGTGTGGTTGGGGATGATCTTTATCATCCGTCCCCGCCTATGGTGGTGGCTAGTCCTATTTATAGATGCCCTGGTCCTCTCCCTAAATATTGAGCGGGAAGGGAGCCAACAACGGCCAATTTGAAAGGGGACAACTAGTACAAGCTATCCTGACAAAAGTAGTCTTCGCCTGCAAAAGGCTATGGTGGTGACGCCGTCCTGGGCTCCATGGTGACCTCCGTCTTGCCGTCCTTATGGTCTTGGTGTCGTTGCACCGATATGGAAACCTTTCCTTGATGCCTCGATACTCCGTGCCTGCGCTTGCCCCCTTGGCACCAAAGAGGAAGCAAGGACACTGCACGCTGGCTCCCGCCTGGCACCCGCTTAGTCTCGATCGTCATGGCTCACGTCACGAGGACTTCGCGAGGTTTTCCTTGCCTTGATCTCTCCGCCCCTCATGAGCCTGCCTGGCGAGGCCGCTCCTGAGGAGGTCTTGTGTCATCCGCCTCGTGAGGCTTGGCCCCTCGCGAGGGTCTTGAATACCTCGTTGATGAAGATGGGCCGTACAGACCTGCTAGCCCAGACACGCCGTGGGCCGCAGGCAGGCAAGTCTGGGGACCCCCGTTCCCAGAACGCCGACAACTACCTATCATGAACTTGATTAACTAATGCAAACACATTTAGTAAGTCTAAACCAATAATAAATATGTTTGAAAATGGTTTATATTAAAAATATTAAACTACCTCAGTGCATACAAAAGAAGTTCTGACATATTCTTTGGTAGCCAAATGCAACAAATCAAAATCACCATTGTCAAAGGTTTAGAAAGAATGTCAATATTTATGGGCAACAAAACGATAATCTTCTATAGGTAGCAATCACTTCTAGGTTAACCCAAGATATAGGACCGAATATGATCACGTGTTTCATGCCTGCGCTATTTTAACCAATCAACAACTTATGAAGAATCTCAGCATAATTTTAGATCCCATGCTCTAATCATTTCCCGGAGAACATAATGAGGAGTTATAAGAAGTCAAAAACAGAAAGTGTTGCACTTATGTATCTGATCATTAGGCCAAGAGGAAGACCTTATAATCGATACTAAGCAAGGAGTAGAGTTTGCCATGTAGTTATGATGCACATCGAGCTATGAATGAGTGAAAGCTCTCGTATGAACTAGTGAGGGTGAATCCAACTTACTTGAAAACCTGAAGCTTATTTGAGAAGGTTCATCATTAGAATGTGCAAACCAAGTTCTATAATATGATGTGCCGACCCAAGTAAACTTAGGTATGTACCCCAATTTCTATTTTCAGAAGGACGCTAACAACAAACCGGGCAGAGCACCATATGCCACTTTTGTTAATGAGAAAAAGGGTGGTAAAAGAAGAGAAATCATTAGTTACCCATTAAGGTTAATTTGATTCGATGACCAGAGTTTCGCGAGGATATATAGCCTGGAAAGACGATAGAAAATGCATTCATTTGCCTCAAACTTTAGAGGGGCTAATGAATGACAATAACATTTTGATTTGTAAAATACATACATTTCTTAAAGCAAAAAAGCATTATGTAAACCCATTTCGTATGTAAACCACTTATGCACGGGCCAGGGGTGATCCTCCTTTTCAAAACTAAATAAATTATAAACCCCTTAAATCAACTAACATACTTTCCTGTAATATATTTGTAATCCGAAAAGGGTAGTTGTGCATGTAGAGCAGGCTTTTGGGTTGAAGTAATTGGTCATGGTGAGATGGGGTGGAAGGCGACGGTGGAATGGTTGGCAATGTGCAGGTTGAACTGCCCACCTTTCTCGCTCACGTCGAGCTTGTCCATGCCTGGCGGGGGCACCATCTTGGAGCTCCTCACAAGCTTCCTGACGATGAGCGCCAGGATGGGAAGTGCAAGGATGATGCCGAGGCAGCTGCACCGGCCCACGTCGAACGGGAGGAACCGGAAGTCCACCTTGCCACCGATCGTGGCATCCATGTTGCTCTCCTCGCCCAAGAACCTCTCCGCCCTGAACTCCTCCGGCTTCTCCCACAGCTCCGGGTTGTTGGCCAGCCACCAGGCGTTGACAACGACCTTGGAGCCCTTGGGAATGGTGTAGCCACCAAGGATGGCCTCCTCGAAGTTCATATGGGGACGAGGATCGGGATGGGGGAGTGCAGCCACAACGTCTCCTTGATCATAGCCTGCAGGTACGCCAGCTTATTGACGCTGGACTCGGTGATGGGCTCGTCATCACCGAGCACGTCCCTGATCTCGCCGCCCACCTTGCGCTGCACGTCCGGGTGGTTCACCACCTCGGCAAGCGCCCACTCGATGGACCATAGCGTTGTCTCGATGGCCGTGACGTTGATGTTCTCGACGATGTAGATGACGTTCTCCGGCGTGATCTCGCCGCTCTTCTCCGCTGTGAGGATGTGGTCGATCGCGCATCTGAGCTTGTTCTTGTCTTCTCCTGGCATGTCCATCACCTTCCTTCTCTTCTCGACGTAGTTGGTGTTGAAGAAGGCGAGCCTCCGGGTTTGTAGGTCCCTGCACTTGTTGAGGTAGCCACGCAGGAAGGGCCTGGGGATGGGGATGAAGTCGCCATAGTTGTAGTCGAAGCTCTGCGTGAGGCGGCTGCGCTCGGAGTTTCTTAAAAGTTTGGGGTTGCGATGCTTATGTGAAAAAGCTTCTACCTGATAAGCTCGAACCCAAATCGGAGAAATGTGTCTTCATAGGATACCTAAAGGAGACTGTTGGGTACACCTTCTATCACAGATCCGAAGGCAAGATATTCGTTGCTAAGAATGGATCCTTTCTAGAGAAGGAGTTTCTCTCGAAAGAAGTGAGTGGGAGGAAAGTAGAACTTGATGAGGTAATTGTACCTTCTCCCGAACTGGAAAGTAGTTCATCACAGAAATCAGTTCCAGTGATTCCTACACCAATTAGTGAGGAAGCTAATGATGATGATCATGAAGCTTCTGATCAAGTTATTACCGAACCCCGCAGGTCAACCAGAGTAAGATCCGCACCAGAGTGGCACGGTAATCCTGTTCTGGAAGTCATGTTACTTGACCGTGACGAACCTACGAACTATGAGGAAGCGATGATGAGCCCAGATTCCGCAAAATGGCTTGAGGCCACGAAATCTGAGATGGGATCCATGTATGAGAACAAAGTGTGGACTTTGGTTGACTTGCCCAATGATCGGTAGGCCATTGAGAATAAATGGATCTTCAAGAGGAAGACGGACGCTGATAGTAATGTTACTATCTACAAAGCTCGAATTGTCACAAAATGTTTTCAACAAGTTCAAGGTGTTGACTACGATGAGATTTTCTCACTCGTATCGATGCTTAAAAGTCTGTCTGAATCATGTTAGCAGTTGCCGCATTTTATGAAATCTGGCAAATGGATGTCACAACTGCATTCCTTAATGGATTTCTTAAAGAAGAGTTGTATATGATGCAACCAGAAGGTTTTGTCAATCCTAAAGGTGCTAACAAAATGAGCAAGCTCCAGCGATCCATCTATGGACTGGTGCAAGCATCTCGGAGTTGGAATATATGCTTTAATAAAGTGATCATAGCATATGGTTTTATACAGACTTGCGGTGAAGCCTGCATTTACAAGAAAGTGAGTGGGAGCACTACAACCTTTCTGATAAGTATATGTGAATGACATATTGTTGATAAAAAATAATGTAGAGTTTTCTGGAAAGCATAAAAGGAGTTTTTGAAAGGAGTTTTTCAAAGAAAGACCTCGGTGAAGCTGCTTACATATTGGGCATCAAGATCTATAGAGATAGATCAAGATGCTTGATAAGATTTTTTCAATGAGTACATACCTTGACAAGATTTTGAATTAGTTCAAAATGGAACAGTCAAAGAAGGAGTACTTGCCTGTAAGGTGTGAAGTTGAGTAAAAACTCAAAACCCGACCACAGCAGAAAATAAAGAGAGAATGAAAAGTCATTCCCTATGCCTCAGTCATAGGTTCTATAAAGTATGCTATGTTGTTTACCTGTCCTATTGTATACCTTAGCATGATTCTGGCAAGGGAGTACAATAGTGATCTAGGAGTAGATCACTGGACAATGGTCAAAATTATCCTTAAGAGGACTAAGGAAATATTTCTCGGTTATGGAGGTAATAAAAGAGTTCGTCGTAAAGAGTTACGTCGATGCAAGCTTTTTACATCAATCTAGATGGCTCTAAGTCTCGATCTGGATACATATTGAAAGTGGGAGCAATTAGCTAGAGTAGCTCCATGCAGAGCATTATAGACATAGAAATTTGCGAAATACATATGGATCTAAATGTTGCAGACCCATAGACTAAACTTCTCTCACAAGCAAAACATGATCACTCTTTGAGTGTTAATCACATAGCGATGTGAACTAGATTATTGACTCTAGTAAACCCTTTGGGTATTAGTCACATGGAGATGTGAACTAATCACATAAAGATGTGAACTAGATTATTGACTCTAGTGCAAGTGGGAGACTGAAGAAAATATGCTCTAGAGGCAATAATAAAGTTATTATTTATTTCCTTGTATCATGATAAATGTTTATTATTCATGCTAGAATTGTATTAACCGGAAACTTAGTACATGTGTGAATACATAGACAAACAGAGTGTCACTAGTTTGCCTCTACTTGACTAGCTCGTTGAATCAATGCTGGTTATGTTTCCTAACCATAGACATGAGTTGTCATTTGATTAACGAGATCACATCATTAGAGCATGATGTGATTTACTTGACCAATCCATTAGCTTAGCACGATGATCGTTTAGTTTGTTGTTGTTGCTTTCTCCATAACTATACATGTTCCTATGACTATGAGATCATGCAACTCCCGAATACCGGAGGAACACTTTATGTGCTACCAAACGTCACAACGTAACTGGGTGATTATAAAGGTGCTCTGCAGGTGTCTTCGATGGTGTTTGTTGAGTTGGCATCGATCAAGATTAGGATTTGTCACTCCGATTGTCGAAGAGGTATCTCTAGGCCCTCTCGGTAATGTACATCACTATAAGCCTTGCAAGTAATGTAGCTAATGAGTTAGTTACGGGATGTAACATTACGGAACGAGTAAAGAGACTTGCCGGTAGCGAGATTGAACTAGGTATTGAGATATCGATGATCGAATCTCGGGCAAGTAACATACCGATGACAAGGGGAACAACGTATACCGTTATGCGGTTTGACCGATAAAGATCTTCATAGAATATGTAGGAGCCAATATGAGCATCCATGTTCCGCTATTGGTTATTGACCGAAGACATGTCTCGGTCATGTCTACATAGTTCTCGAACCCATAGGGTCCGCACGCTTAACGTTTGGTGACGATCGGTATTACGAGTTTATGTGTTTTTATGTACCGAAGGTAGTTCAGAGTCCCGGATTTGATCACGAACATGACGAGGAGTCTCGAAATGGTCGATGCGTAAAGATCGATATATTGGAAGCCTATGTTTGGACATCGGAATGGTTTCGGGTGAAAACGGGAGTATACGGGAGCACCGGGAGGTTACCGGAACCCCCTCGGGAGGTGTATGGGCCTTAGTGGAAGAGAGGGAGAAGAAGAAAAGGAGGGGGCGTGCCCCCCAAGCCCAATCCGAATTGGGAAGGCCCCCCCCCCTTTACTTCCTTCTTCCTCCTCCTTCCTTCTCTCCTAAAACCAAACAAGGGAAGGGGGAATCCTACTCCTGGTGGGAGCAGGACTCCCTTGGGTGCGCCTAGAGAGGCCGGCCCCCTCCCCCTCCTCCACTCCTTTATATACGGGGGAGGGGGGCACCCCATGTACACACAAGTTGATCATTGATCTTTTAGCCATGTGTGGTGCCCCCCTCCACCATAATCCACCTCGGTAATATCGTAGCGGTGCTTAAGCGAAGCCCTGTTCCCGTAGCAACATCATCACCGTCATCACGCTGTCGTGCTGACGAAACTCTCCCTCGAAGCTCTACTGGATCGTGAGTTCGCCGGACGTCACCGAGCTGAACGTGTGCAGATCGCGGAGGTGTCGTACCTTCGGTGCTAGATCGGTCGATCGTGAAGACGTATGACTACATCAACCGTGTTGTCATAACGCTTCCGCTTACGGTCTATGAGGGTACGTAGACGATACTCTCCCCTCTCATTGCTATGCATCACCATGATCTTGCATGTGCGTAGGATTTTTTTTTAAATTACTGTGTTCCCCAACATTATTACATCACCATTTACGATTAATACATCACACACAGTTTCATCGAAGGGTCTCTGATTGTAGTTTCGCATTAGCAGCATCCTACAGTAGTGATCCTGAGTGATGAAGGCCTTACTGGAGTATGCCTCAAAGAACGGGCGTCAACACAACTGCTTACAAGACGCATACGGACGCCTGCATTGTCTTCAGCAAGGAGGGGTAGGAGGAGTTCCTTGTGAGAGAAAAAATCTACAAGTCCTGCGTGCAACAACTTGAAGATCATGATTGTCATTGACATCAATAAATTCCAATGATGTGAGATCAATAATGCAGGATCGGACATTTCCTAAAATGCATCGTTGTTTATTGATGATAAATCATTGAGGTTTGTGGTAATGAAGGTGAATTCCTCCTTTGACTCAGTACCAGATCAGGGCTGAAAACAAAGATCGCCTCGAAATGCGAAGTATTGGTGGCAAAAAAGTGCACCATACATTGGGTATGAGTTTTGGGGGTATATAAAACCATCAGGCACCATAGGAAACTAATGGGTGCCCTAGGGACCATAGATGTTGACAGCATCTGGGCGCCTACACAGTGTGCCTATGCCCTGTGGGCCACCCCAGGTGTCGGACTTTGGTCCTTCGGTGTTGTGAAATTTCCTACCAAATTTTGTTGGAATTTTCAGGGACTTTTGGTATTTTTTCTTGTAAAATTGAAAAATAACAAAACAAACATGAACATAATTTATAGGACATTGCATACTTCAAGGATTACAGGCATGAAACATACAAAAATTGTAGATATCTTGGAGACGTATCAACATCATGTTCTCGTGCTCGAGCATCAAGATGATAATAAAGATAATTTTTGTATGTAAATGCTACCTATCATGAACTTGATTAACTGATGCAAACACATTTAGTAAGTCTAAACCAATAATAAATAT